ATCAAAATGCCTGTTTCTCGATCAAAATGCCTCATCCATGTTCATTGTCTTGTGTCAGAGGCTTAGACCTGGGATTAATTTATCCAATTATCCTTCGTTTTCTGATAAACTAGCTAGTTTATATTAGTCTGATTATTACTAGCTATACGTATATGTTTTTTCTGAATTCTGGATTCTATTTGGGATTAAATGCCATGGATGCATGTTTTTTTTTTTTTTTAAATTTCATGAGACACGTATAAAATGGAGGAGAGATCGCACGGTCATCAGCTCCAACTGTACTGTGCAGAAGAATAAAGGCTCGTTTGACAAGTGAGTTTTTTGGGTGTTTATCTAATATTTTACTGTAGCTTACTGTAGAATTTTTTAAAAAAATTTTTGAAGTGTGTTTTTTTTTGAATATTTTGAAGTGTATAGTTTAAAAATTTTGAGAAGTTTTTTGAGATTATTGTAGCTAAAGTTTTTAAAAAATTTATAGCAGATAAACTTGACAAAAAATTATCTGCCGACCAAAAATTGGGCCGCGACAACTCAATACATGTGCTGGCTTAGCTAGAAGAGAAGAAAATCTCCTTTTCAACAAGAGAGGAAAAAAATTTTCGTTCGATTAGAAAAAAAAATTGGCGTTTTCTCGTGGGGAGGAGTGGGACCATTCATTGCCAATTCGAGTTTTCTACTAACACATTGTGTGACATTCACGTTACACACTTCCATATATTGACATGAATTTCTTTTAAGAGTTAAATCTAATTAGAGATATTATTATTGTGATAGTTTGAGAAGTACAGTTATTAACCAACTAAAATGTGTAACACGAAAGTTATACTATAATGAGTAATAGAAGACCTATTGGCAATTCAAAAAAAAAAAAAATTGAATTAATTTTTCCTACATTGACAGCTAGTGTATACACTATTAGCGTTGGATGAATGATAACTATGCAAAATTTAAATTTGAAATTCAACTTTTACACACATTTCATGAATCTAACGATGATAGTATATATACTGTCAGTGCGTATAAGATTTACTTTTTTATTTTTTTTATAGTTTAATAACCAGTAGTACACACTTTCGTAAGCAATTTAATTGATTTCTCCATTTTTCCATTTCACATTGACATGTAAGTAATGAGTTAAGGTGTTAATTATTTGATGTGAAAAATTTGTGAGTATATATTTTTAAACTTCTATCATATAACTATGATATTTGAATTTTTTTCTTTTTTTTTTTTAAAATTATGCTTACGAAACGGACCGATGATTTTCTTTCCAAACTGTGCGTAACTTTACTTTTTTTTTTTTTTTTTTAAGAAGGAAGATGGCTTATAAGAACATCATTTGGTGACTGTTGGAAAATTTCTTCCAAACACACGAAAAAGGTCTCGAGGCAAGAAAAAAAATGGATGTTTTGAAGAACATCAATTTACAAGCAAGAAGAAAAAAAGAGAAAGAAAGAAAACAAAAATGTTACTCCAGTCATTATAATAAGAAAATAAGCCAAAAAATATTAATTGTCAACCGTACGTAGTTTACTTTCAGTTTTCTTGGGCAGTTAACAAGGAAACCCCGAGCACCGCCACCGAGGATTTTGAGGTGTGTAATTGTTAAACTTCTTACTGTAAGCAATTAATTGAAAAAGTATATATACCTCGTTGTTATCAACATAATAAGTAGAATATTACCATTTGCGCCCTGTTAACTTTAGAATTTAAAGGTTAAAAACTGAAAAATTAGATTAAAAGGGAAAATATGAGCTTGTTATGTTCGTGTTTTGCGAGGCACTTACATTGGCTGTCAATAACAATTAGGCGATTGTAGCTAATCTGGGTTAACTTTAGTACCGAGTGCCCCAACAACGAAATCTAGCAATGCAGTGGATTTATAAAAACCTGAAGATAGTGCAACCTTTCATCTCTCTCTCTCGGTCTTTTTTTTTTTTTTTGGCATTATGTTATGAGAATATGATACATCATATAATTCCCACCCAAAAGAAAGAGTTCGTCTGTTGCTATTTAATTCAAATTCCAAAGAAAGTAGACAAGTTTTAATTAATAGGGGTTTTTCTAACAATAACTATTGCTGTTAACAAACCTAAATCACACACATCCTATCATCTGAACGAACACGCTAACAATTATTATATTCCTTTATACTTACACATTTTTCTTAATTTTCTTTACTTTTTCAAAATTTATCATAGATCAAGATGAATGCTTTTAATCTCATGCTTTGCATGAATACAGACATAATGTAAAGAAAGTAAAGAAAATAAGTTTTTTTCCTTTTCCTCGTTTAAGAAGAGGAAAATTAGTTGACAAGAAACAAGACTAAGGCTTTGTCCATAAATCAATTCAGTATTTAAAATTAATGGATTCAGATCGTTTAATAACAAAAAATTAACATCTGAATTAATTAAGTGACACTGAATTTCTTAAGCAAAATTTGCTCCCAAAATTAATTAAGTGATAATCTATTCGCTTATCACTGAATGTGATATGCATTCAAATGTATTAGATTTAATAGTTAACAATTCAATAAATTAATGGATTTAGACTTCAAATTCAAATTTTAGACTTCAATTTTGTTAAACGCACCCTCAGATTTTTACTTGTGAGTGGAGTACTAGACAAAGAGTTGAGGACAACTGTGGTGAACAATTAATTGTCGCCATTGATTATAATTAATTACCTGTCCTCCAAATTTTAGTTAAACATGTTGATATGGAATTTTTTGTAACAGTTAGATAGGTTTGTCCAGCGAGTGTGTTTAGGCGTTTTTTTTTTTTTTTGGAAAAAAATGTAAAGTAAAATTAGTGAAGTGTTTATATAATTACATGTAAGGAAAGATAATAAATGAGTCTATATATTTGAATGCTAAATTTGGTGTAAATTAGGTGTATTCCAATGCTTATTGGGCACTTATTTTTTAAAAAAAAAAGAAAAATACAAACAGAAAAAAGGATGCCAAATGTAATTACACCAATTAAACTTCAAAACTAATGAAATAAAAAAATTCAAAGGATCCTAATTCATTTACTTATTCAATTTTCAAAACAAAGTTTAGAACCAAGATTCAATTTTATATTTATAGAAACTGATATCAATAGTCAACAATGCATCGATCTTGTCAAATGAAAGGAAGATATATATAATCTTGGATTTGGAACAGAAGGAGAAAATTTGACTCGCACACGAAATCAGAAGGAGAGGAAAAAAGATATTAACGTTTGTTGAAAAAAAAAAGAATAATAATTTATTTGACGGTGCCGATTATTAGTTAAAAAAATAATTATGGCGGAGGTGAAGGACCTGTCAGCATTCCTTGTAGACATTCGCCGCATCAATTGCACCTTCTTGCGATCCTCTTTTCCGAATGCGCCAAAATGATATTTAGTTTTTCTAATATTCCGTCGTTTTCGGTTTGGAATTCTTTCGGAGGTGTGAAGAAATTCAAAAAGTTTCCAAGTATGAAAATAATGAGAAATACTTAATAAAAATGTGCTCGAGTGCTACAGAAAAGTTGCCTTTTTTTTAACTAACAAAACCGCGTTAACAACAGCTTGCTTTTATACTATTTACTTTCTTTTTTCCCACACCCCACTCTCTCACACGCAAAGTTCCCACGGACCGTGTGAGAGAGAAGAATATTTCTAGGTGGTTTTGGCAAATATTAACCATTTGAAATAAAGGTCCGGGTTTGTTTGGATTGTAAGTTATTTGGGATATTTTTACTGTAGCATTTTTTGTGACGTAATGTATGTGAGATAAAAAGTTAATTGGAAAGATAAAAATGTGTATTGGAAATTGTAATGATGATGTAAACAAATAAAATTGAAGAAATAATGCTCAATCCAAACAAACCCTTGTTTTCCGAACATGAGTTTTACAAATATCGAAAGTTTTTTTTTTTTTTTTTTTCAGAATAACAAGTCAATAACTTGGTGAAACGAGATTTCTGCAATAAATAGAGGTAATAGATGGACAATCTTTTGCTTTATTTCTATAGTATCACATAAGTTCGTGTTTTGTCTAGAATATAAAAAATAGTTGCACATGCAATAATCTGCATTGAGTTTGTGAGTAAGAGGGGGCATCGATCGGGTGCTTCATATGATTGTACATTTAAATAATGGAGTATCTTGTATGTATAGATTAAGGGGATATTTGGTAAATGAATGCGAGAGGTAGAAATAAGTAGATATTAAAGTGAACTTATTATTTAGTAGACTACACTGGGGAATATGATAAATTATTATTAACCAATTAATGCCTTTTCAGAGTAAGGTACTTGAAAAAAACACACATTTCAAGTAGACCCTATCATTGTCAAACAATAATGTTTGGATAGTTAAATTTTTTTCGCGCAATATTTCGTTTGTATTATAAATATATTTTTTTAATTTATATTTTTATATTCTCAATTTTTTAAAAAATTTTATATATATCACATTACAAAAAATATTTCAAATAATACTCTGTCCAAACACACTAAGGGCCTTTTAGGACCTTTTTCTTTGAAACTACAACTTTGCTTATTTATTTACATCAGTAAAGAAGCGTTCAATATAAATCTACCAAAGCGAAATGGGGAGAAAGGAAACAAAAGGAAAACAGAGAAAAAAGTGGAGTTTCTTTTTTTCTAATTGTTTTTTTTTATGGATTCCATATTTAAAAAATGTTTTGCTCCTTTTTTTTCTAATCTTTCCATCCGTGATGATGTCGACGGGTTGTTCTCTTGTGCAAGTTTTGTGAAGAACCCAACAGCCAATCACAATTTTTCCCTTTCTTTTCTATTGCCAACATTTCTTCTATAAAAGACACAACCCACCCTTCTCAAAAACTCCCTCCCCCTTAGCAAACAATACATTCAAGATTTCTCTCTTTTCTGTTTCTTCATACAAGTTTGTCAGTAGCAGTGCAGAGATTGAGAGAGAAAATGGAAGAATTTCCTTCTTTATGGAGTTATCAAGAGGTGGGCTCTCTTCACGTTCTTGCTAGTTTTGGGGTCTGGCATTTAAGGCTTCTTTCAGTTTATGTACGAATGAAAGAGAATTCAATTTAACTTGTTCAGGGGGAAGTGTATCCATTTCCTCTTCTAAAACCGGCCATCAAAACTTCATTTATTTAGAATCTTTCTGTGAGTTTTTCAAAATCTGTTTAATCCCATTTTGCTTCGACATCAGTTTTCCGGAGGGTCGAACTCAGTTTTTGTATTTCTGTTCAGTTCAATCTCCTCTTCTTCTCTGTTTCTGAACATTGATTGATTCGACCAAGTATTGCTTTTGAAGGAGTAAACAATTGCTTAAAAGAGCTCCGTGCTTCTCAATACAACTGATGTCTTTTGTTCAGTGTACCTGTCTTTTACAAGGCTTGATCTATTTTTCCAGACCACGAGTCTTTCTCTACTGTACGTGTATATGAGTGGGTGTGACTCTGTGTTTTTTCTTTTGGGCTGTTTCCAGTTTTCTATATTCGACAGAGTCAATGTCCATGTGCTTTGCACGTTTCTTGTTTGTTGAAGTGACGCGCTCCCCATATTTGCTGAAAAGAAACAATTTTTTTGTGCTAAACAGACTTTTAATGTCGATTTTTGGGTGTTGATCAATATCTTTTGACAATTCAAGACAGAATCATTATCGGTCTAATGTACGTTTATTCTTACGCTAGGCATCCAATGGTAAAAATCATTGTGTTCTGTTCTTTCTTTTTTTCAATCATCATATTTTTTGGGGGACTGAGATGCCCTGTGATATGCATGGTCCCCATGCCTAGCCCCTACGTTCGAATTTTATGTTCATTGAATAACTAGTAAATTTTCAAAGTTGTTTAGCCTGATCTCAACGTCCCTTGTTATTGTAGTTTGAAGTTGATCATCTACTTTTTCTCAAATGAAGGCTTTGAGCAAAGGGTCTACTTTTGAAAATGAATATGTTGCACTTGGTTTGTGTTGATTGATACATTCATTGGAACCTATGTGCCGTCTGAATTCAATCTTTAAAGTGGACAAACAGAATTGTGTTCAGAAACTTGACTGCTCATTACCCGAGAATTTTACCATATCTTACGCATTTGGCTGTGTCTGCAGAGCGTTGATGATTTGAAACAGAAGCTGCTATGCACCGCTCTTGAACTTGAACAACTGAAGGTGGAAGCAAATGAGGAAATGAGAAAAAACAAGGAATATGTGAAGCAACTTATCCAACTCTTGAAGATGGCTTGCCAAGAAAGAGATGAAGCAAGAGATCAACTTCAAAAGATGCTGAACAAAGTCATCCCTTCAACGAATTCAACTGAGCTCCTCTCAGGCTTGCCTCAATTTCAACCAGATAGTCCTCTTGTAAAGCCTGCAAAAGCAAATTCAAGCATAACTGAGTCAAACAGTTTCTCTGAAACACATAACTATCCTTCACACGGTTCATCCCCAGGTGAATCCTTTCTCGATGCTGTCTCATCCCCGGAACTCTCGAACATCAACATGGGTGATTCGGGCAGCATTGCATTTGTGAACCCACCCTTGATTCAAGACTGTAAGGGGATCATTTCCAACAACATGCTCCCTTCAGGAATTCCAAAAGTTGACCATGCCTCTTTGGTGATTGACAATCTTGCCCAAGGGAAAAATTTGCCCCAGAAAGGGAAGTTCCTTAAGGCTGTCCTTGATGCAGGGCCACTTCTGCAGAATCTTCTTGTTGCCGGGCCACTTCCTAGGTGGCGTAATCCTCCTCAGCTCCAGACATTTCACATTCCCCCGGTTTCAATCAGAGGTTGTGATGCTGATATGCTCAATATGAAAAGTGCTACAAATATGAGCCTTCTTGCTTCAAGATCACTTACTTCACGACCTTATGCTGAAATGTCGTGTGCCTCTTCCCAAATTTTGTCATCGTCCATGTTGAATTTTACCAACGGACCTGTTGGATCCTGTCTGGGAAGTGATAGGTTGATATCAGCTGGAGCAAATGCAAACACTTATGTTTCACTGGGTAAGAGGCAGAGGCTCTATTGAGGATTTGGAGGATGCTATCATTCCAATTTTGTATAAATGAGATTGCTGGTGGTGTAAATGCGATACAATTGATTAGTTCGAATGACATAGCTTTTTAGCTTTTGATTGATATTCCTCTTCCTTTTTTGTGTTTGTCTCAAACTCATTTGATCCAATTTGATTGGGCAATTGGAAATTTGGTTGTCATAATCCAATTACTGGTATATACTTTATATCCACTGCGTAGTTTTTCCTCTCGAAAGTCTTGAAAACCTTTCAAATGATGAGTTTCTCCTCATGAGATTTTGCATTGGACTTGAAATCTTTTTAAGGATTTGTCTACATGAATGCATTTAAATGCAAATTTTTATGGTGCTATGAAACTTTTAGTAATATATATATATATCTTGTCATTATTGTGTTAAACCCAAGTAATATTTGTACGCAGAAATTCTTTGATCATTTTCTCAATGTTGAACCAATCAGAAAGAGTTTGGTTAGCTTGGCCTTTTTCTGTAGTTGACAGCCTGTCAGTGATTGTCCGGTGAAAAAGTAGACGATCAAACAAGACAACTTGTGAAGAAGAATAAACCGTCAGAGAATGAACACATGCAACTCTCCGACATAGTATATTAGAGTTGCAATTTAAGTCAAAAGTACTTAATTGTCGATGTGCTGAATAAATTTTTTTTTTTAAAAAAAATCATTCAAAAAGATCTCCATATTCTTCTGCCAAATGAATTTTTAAAAATAATTCACTTTATGTACCTTATAAATTTGAGTTAATAAAATTTGGTCACAATCAAAGTTTTTAACTAATTTTTTGTTTGAAATAACACATAATCCCGCATGATCATTTTTTTAGGGCAAAAAAGTATGATCCCATTTGTAGTTAAACAAATGACTGATCTATATTCATTTTTTTTCTCTAAAAAAAAAGGTAGGATCCTGCATAAATCACATTTATTTTTGTTTTAAAAAGTGAAATTTGATCTTTTTATACATAAAAGATGTGTATGTGGGCCACGCGGCGGCGATTTCAATTTTTCCAATAAAACTACTACATGCTATGTCCTTCATCGCGCTTCGTTTAGTTCCATTCTGTTGTATCAATCAGCCATTGGACGATAGGGAGCAATATGCAATGGCGAAGATTATCAGAGGTATTGCCGATTATAAACTAACGTAAAAAAATGACAAATGGAGAAAACTAAGTAAAGCACATCAAGCCATAGACGGTGGGTGACGATATAAAAACTGACCTGCTCGATTGCAGACAACTTACGTCCTTCGTGTTCTGTTTGTGTATATTGACAAGCATTTACCAGTGCACAGCCAGAAAACTTAGAATTCACATACGTGTGTGAGAATTTACCAATGCTGCAGTTATGAGGTGCCAGTGCACAAGCTGTCAAGCTGAGGCTGGGGATGCATTCCATATCATCATCGTCTTCCTACTAAAGCATTTCAATAGTGGATTGTGTTATGCGAAGGTGAGGTCCCCTGACGAGGTTTGTCTGGGAAATTTTTGTACAAATTCCAATGTCCCAACTTCAAGACCACAGCAAAAGTTTAGCCTAATAATAATGACCATCCCTTCTGCAGCCACGGAATCTTGGAGAATGGTGATGAGAACAAAAAAGACAAAAATTAGCATTGTTCGCTACTTGTCCAAAGAAGATTGGAATCATTGACACTAAGTAAGAGCAAGCTGGCGTTTTTCACCTTCCTGAATGGCCTAATGGAGTTGTTTGTTTGCATTGTTAACCAAGAAGACAACAACAATGAGTAGACATGCAATGCCATTTGGAAGTTTTAATGCAAGTCTTTATCCTCAAAATCATCAAACAAAATTTTGTTGGTCACAACTCTAATTGCATTGTGCTGATCGTTACCATTAATTTCAAAATTTCTAGCAAGAGTTTGGTTCTTTCCAAGAATAAGGCTTCTCTTAACTTTTTTCTCGGTCAAAAAATGCACTCTACTTCATTACTCCAAAAATACACAGGTAGTAGTACTATTTAGATTTTAGACCTACTCCATTCCAAGAGTTTGGTTCTAGCAAGATATCCATTCCAAGAGTTTGGTTCTAGCAAGATATTCTGCATGCAGATTTAATTCGTTGAAGGGTATCAGCCAAGCAAAAAAGCTTCATACTACTCTGCACTCAGCAGCAGTATGCCACCAAGCCCGCCCCCAACTTCAGGCTTTGAACATTCACAATGGAATCCCATGGTGATTGCATTGGTTGTTGTCGTTTGTTGCATCTTCCTTTTGTTCAGCTATCAGAAGATTCTTCAACGTCATTGCAGTCACTTTGGTTCAATAACAAACTCCCGGAATCAAGGCCAAAGTCGACGTCTGCATGACGCTGTCGCTGATGATCCTTCTCTACAGCTCCAAAGCCGTGGACTAGATTCCTTTGTTATGCACTCGCTGCCCATTACGCAATTCAAGAAGAATAATGAAGAAGAAACCTGTAAAGGAATTACAGATTGTGCAGTTTGTTTGGGGGAGTTTGAAGAAGGTGAATGGCTGAAGCATTTACCACATTGTTCTCATGTATTTCATGTCTCCTGCATTGATGCTTGGTTTCAGACTCATTCCAGCTGCCCACTATGCAGATCATACGTCTTTAATCTAACAATGCACCAGGAACACTCGGTATCCGTGTACACGTTGCTAGAAACTTTGAGGAGGGAAGAATTCAGTCAAGAAAGAGCAGAAAACTACCAAATTCTTCGATCCCACGTATTGCAAACTTCTACAGAGGATGGAAACTCAAATAGCCATTGATGTTGGTCATCCAAGGGAATGAACCATCATGATTGAAAGTAGCACCCGGTGGGATGATAGTACATGGATATTCTTTTTTGATACGAGAAGGTGAGACGAACTGTTAAATGACATATGACAATCTTTCGAGAAAAAGACATAGCATCAGAATGGGATCAGAAACATTTTTGTGGCCAAAGTTTGTTGAATACACCGAAGTATACAGAAAATCACTAGCGGGCCTCCCCACTAGTCCCGTGTGCTGATAGTCAAAACAAAAAGGATGTCAATTCTTTCTGATGATCTTGTAAGATCAGCCTGTAGTGTTGTACATACACGCCTGTCTCAAAAGCTGAATTGATACAGGAAGAAGCTGCCAAAAGAAAACGCCGAAACCACCAAGAAAATCAAGACCAATTTGTCTTGTAATATGACACGTCGAGAATTTAGATTGCATCTTAAATCCACTATTGGTTGTAGATCAATGGGTTTCAACTTTTTGTTTCGGTAACTGCCGTAACTCTCTCGCTGCACAGTGATATTGCTTCTTGAACGACATGATCCTTAGACAGGATTTTGCACGTCTACTCTCGCCACTGTATGAAAAGGATATGTTAGAACATTTTTCTTCTAGTTTAGCGCTGTTTCAATCACTTGCATGCTTCTATCTTTCCGGGAAACAGGGCTTTAAACTTGAAAGTTATGCCTATAACTTGCCTTGGCTGGCTCTCAAGTACAGTGTGGGCTATTTTTTATTTCTGAGTGCTTGACAGATTGAAAGTTCGTACTTCTGAAGTTTACTGAATCAGAAAGCTTCCAAGATTTCAAGCAGGAAAATGATCATAAAGAAGTAAATTCGTGGTAACATTCCCCGAGAGGTTTTATTATCTCTTTTGTATCTGTGAACCTGAAGTGATCAAATAAATTTCTGCACTGAATACATACAGAAGATCAATGATTTTCAACAATGACTATTTCATAAAAACGAAAAAATGGACCCAGAAACCACAAAGTGGAGAGAAGAGCTTCTATATGAAACCAAAGTGATCATTCATTTTCTCTGGATTTCCTCAGGAGGATCATTTTCATCAATATCTGGGTTAATAAATGCATCCAATAGTCCTCGTTCGCCGGATTCATAGATATGCCCCATCTTTGCTCTCTTAGTTTCCAAATACCTCTTGTTTTCCTCGGTGATGGGAGTCAAAACTGGAACCCGTCCAACAACTGCCAAACCATAGCCCTTCAGACCGATGAACTTGGCCGGGTTGTTAGTCATTAGGCGCATGGTACGAATTCCGATGTCACGTAGTATCTGTTGCAATCATTTGTCAAAAAGCTTCATCGTTATTAGTGCTAATGAAACTGGGAGTATTTGAAACCAAAGCCTTGTAGAATTTAGCCTCAAGAAACAACCATCTGTTGAGAAGAGATCATTAAGTATTGAGCTGACCTGTGCACCTATCCCATATTCGCGTACATCTGCTGCAAAACCAAGCTCAAGATTGGCTTCCACAGTGTCATGGCCTTGGTCTTGCAAGTTATAGGCCTGAAGCTTGTGACCTAGGCCAATACCCCTCCCTTCGTGGCCCCGGAGATAGAGAACAACTCCCCTGCCGGCTTTCTCAATTAACTGCATTGCCAGATCCAACTGATTTCCACAATCACATCGCCTTGACCCAAAAATATCCCCTGTCAAACATTCAGAGTGAACCCTTACTAGGACTTCTTGACCATTTCCAATTTCCCCCTGTAAATTTTTAAAGGACAAAGGAGGCTTTAAACAAACTATGATGATCAAACTGGGATTCCTTCTTCTGCAAATCGTAGTTCGTTTACCTTTACAACTGCTATATGTTCTGTTCCATCAAGCTTTGAGCGATAACAGTAAGCCTGAAATAAACCCCATTTAGTCGGCAAACGAGAAATTGCTGTCCTTTCAACCAGATTTTCCCTCTTTCTCCTACCTACAAGTAATTGAACACCCGTTGTTATGGAGACGCATTGTGGATTGGTCATAACTGACTGAAGGAAGAAAAAACACAGTATGCATTACAGCAGGAAGAGAGAATATCATATGCCTGAGGGTTCTCTTTTACATGTCACTTGTTGTAACATACTCAAGCTCGGGCATATCTACTAGATAAAGGTTAACTTGATAATGCAGCCAGTAATGAAAATCAGAGCTCTTCTGAAACTTTCTAATGAAGTAAGTTGGCAATAGCTTCTATGAAGGGAATCCACTGCAGTAAGTTGGCAGTAGCTTACCTGATCAAGTCCGTAATTGAGACAATTGGGATGTTCTGCTCCAGGGCTAACTTTCTTAAACAAGGCAAGGATGCGATGGAGCCATCCTCTCCATCAACAACTGCAGAAAGTACAGATGTAGGCCGCAGGCCAGCCAGCATAACCAAATCAACAGAAGCCTCAGTATGTCCAGCTCTCCTCAAAACCCCACCATTCCGATGCTTGAGGGGAAAGACATGGCCTGGCCTTCTAAAATCTTCGGGCCTGGAACTAGGAGATGAGAGTGCAAGGACTGTCTTAGCCCGGTCTGAAGCTGATACACCAGTAGTAGTGCCCACTCTGGCATCCTAATTGTGTTCAAACAGATTAAATAAAAACAAAGAAATAAAGAAAAAGAACAATAGGAAGTGTCTGGCAGGACTAAACAAGGGTGTTTTAAGTTGCCCGGTCCCTATAATTGTTGTCACATTCCTTGCCTTATTCATGAATTTTTTTTATTCCTGTTCTCTAAATTTGAGTTCATCATCTCCTGGTGAAATGGAAACCTAATAAAATGGCAGTAAGTGAACTAAAATAGATATAAAAATGTTGCCATACCACTGTAATCGTGAAAGATGGAGCAGAAGAATCATCTTCGTTTTCAGGTGACATCAAAGGGAGCTGTAACCTCTCAAGATCGTCACTTTTCATTCCTACTGAAACAATTCCAGATCCATGTTTTAACAAAAATGCAACAGCTTGTGGATTCGCATAAGATGCAGCCATCACAAGATTTCCTTCAATCTCTTCATTTTCATCGTCTACAACTATCACAGACTGAAACAGTTTTACAGCGAGAAAAGTACAAGAAACAGAAGAAAATCTCAACCTCATCAGTTTGATGTTTATTAGACCATCCAAACGATGCTACCAACCTTTCCTTTGCGCAACATATTCAGGGCTTGTTCAATCGAAGAATAGCCTGCAGTGGGGCAATCAGGATCGCCCTCAGCATCACTGACAAAGAAATCAATTGTTTCAGGTGTTATCTCAGCATCCAAGGCGCCGAAAGTTGTTGAAGAAGGCTCATCGAGGCACTAAAGAGAGAGCCATTTGGATTAATCTGCGATGAACTAGAGCTCTCATCAGACAAGCCTCCAGGCACCCCAACAGCCCAGCAAGTGGAAACGCATGGTCTCTTCCCGTATATCCCTAGTCCTACTCCTGCACAACAGTTCTGAAGCTATAACGTTGGCCGACTGAAATACGAGGAACCAATTGATGGTGAAACACAACTATACAATCCATAAAGTTTTGGGCCAATAAAAATAGCTGCAACTCTCGTTATCTTGTTCTTGGTTTCTTTGGTTCCATCGTCTATTGCATGAGGCGTGCTTCTGCCAGCAGAAAAGAAAGACCACCACCTCCAGACCTCTAATTTTCTTTAGCATTATCCAATACCGGCTATTTAAGTATTTGTCTTGATCCATTGATAGAGGAATGAAGTGACACTTAATCATCAAAGTTTGTATTGTGCGAGTTTAATTGTGAGCTTCTGAAATTCTTACTAAGAAGAAGGAAAGTGGACTAAGGAATATATGAAGTGAACGTCGTTCTGTGATGAGCAAAATTTTTTTTTTTTTAATTCTTTGGTTATAAATACATATATTTGGTTTACAAGATTAATAAAAACCAAGAGTAGGGATTTTGAAAATTGAAGTATTATTTATCCCATTCACTCTCATTATTGAGTCTACCTTTCATCTACTCATACAACATTTGATTTGTGTTGATACATTAATGGACATATCCCCCAGCGGATAGCTCGTCTGGTTCTGTCATCCGCTCTTTAGCGGTAAGCCTTCAATTTGACCCTTGTTGGTAGCGTGCTGGCATCCTTGGGCAGGGCTCTGCTAGTCGTAGGAGATTAATCTGATCCACGAGTTCATGACACTCTTGTATTAAAAAAAAAAAATTGATACATTAATGGACATCAAAAATTTGTCCAATATGTCAACAATCTACTCTATCATATGCCGTGAGGGAGGGAAAACTCAATTAGACTTGTACGAGGGGATGACACTATGACAGTGACGCTGCAGACCAGGAACTACACCACTGCACCCTCTGGTGAGCCTCTGGATTTTTTGTCTTCTCAATGTGCTCTTAGGGTCTGTTTAATAATATAAAAGAGTGCTGAATTTGAATTTTTTTAAACATTCAGATGTTTTGAGTGTTTGATAAATGAAAATTCATTTGCTGAACTTGTTAAGTAGTGCTGAATTTATGTGTATTTTTTTCAGCACAAGAATCCTAACTGAATGCTTAATTCTGATAATAATCAATAGAATTACTTCAACTACCTTATCTTATCTACCAAATCTACCCTTGTTTATTAATTATGTTCAAAATTATTATATAATTAAACAGCCTAATATTTTCTATCTAATGATTTTTTATTTCTCTGTTCTCTCTTTTGAATGACTTTCACTTATTCTCCATACTCCTCATATAATATAATTCATCTTTTATATTAATTTGATTTAAAAATAAATATTATCATTTTCATACCTAACATTTTTAGCTAATTAAATCATAGGTTCTATTTTTTTTTTGGATGAAAAGATATAAGGGCAAAATTGTCAAATTTAACTTATTAAACATTCAATTATAAATGTTTACCAAATAGTATAAATAGGTTTAACATTAAAATTCAGACATTCATACATTTTTTCAGTATTTAAAATTTAGCAAATTAATTGTTTCAGTATTCAGATTTCAGAATTCAGACTTCA